ACCCTGTGATTGTTAATGGTGTTGATGACCCTGTGATTATTAATGGTGGTGTGATGACCCTGTGATTGTTAATGGTGTTGATGACCCTGTGATTGTTAATGGTGTTGATGACCCTGGTTGTTATTGGTGGTGTTGATGACCCTGTGGTTGTTAATGGTGTTGTTGACCCTGTGGTTGTTAATGATGGTGTTGATGACCCTGTGGTTGTTAATGGTGTTGATGTTGACCCTGTGGTTGTTAATGATCGTGTTGATGACCCTGTGGATGTTAATGGTGGTGTTGACCCTATGATTGTTAATGGTGTTGATAACCTTGTGATTGTTAATGGTGGTGTGATGACCCTGTGATTGTTAATGGTGGTGATGATGACCCTGTGATTGTTAATGGTGGTGTTGATGACCCTGTGGTTGTTAATGGTGTTGATGACCCTGTGGTTGTTAATGGTGGTTGATGACCCTGTGATTGTTAATGGTGTTGATGACCCTGTGGTGGTTAATGGTGTTGATGACCCTGTGGTTGTTAATGGTGGTGTTGATGACCCTTTGGTTTTTAATGGTGTTGATGACCCTGTGGTTGTTAATGGTGGTGTTGATGACCCTGTGGTTGTTAATGGTGTTGATGACCCTGTGGTTGTTAATGGTGTTGATGACCCTGTGGTTGTTAATGGTGGTGTTGATGACCCTGTAGTTGTTAATGGTGTTGATGACCCTGTGGTTGTTAATAGTGCTGTTGATGACCCTGTGTTGATGACCTTGTGATCGTTATTGGTGTTGATGACCCTATGGTTGTTAATGGTGTTGACCCTGTGGTTGTTAATGGTGTTGATGACCCTGTGGTTGTTAACGGTGGTGTTGATGACCCCGTGGTTGTTAATGGTGGTGTTGATGACCCTGTCGTTGTTAATGGTGGTGTTGACCCTGTGATTGTTAATGGTGGTGTTGAAGACCCTGTGATCGTTATTGGTAGTGTTGATGACCCTGTGGTTGTTAATGGTGGTGTTGATGACCCTGTGTTGATGACCTTGTGATCGTTATTGGTGGTGTTGATGACCCTATGGTTGTTAATGGTGTTGATGACCCTGTGGTTGTTAATGGTGTTAATGACCCTGTGGTTGTTAATGGTCGTGTTGATGACCCTGTGGTTGTTAATGGTGGTGTTGATGACCCTGTTGTTGTTAATGGTGGTGATGACCCTGTGGTTGTTAATGGTGGTGTTGATGACCCTGTGGTTGTTAATGGTGGTGTTGATGACCCTGTGGTTGTTGGTGGTGTTGATAACCCTGTGATTGTTAATGGTGTTGATGACCCTGTGGTTGTTAATGGTGGTGTTGATGACCCTGTGGTTGTTATTGGTGGTGTTGATGACCCTGTGGTCGTTAATGGTGGTGTTGATGACCCTGTGATCGTTAATGGTGGTGTTGATGACCCTGTGGTTGTTATTGGTGGTGTTGATGACCCTGTGGTCGTTAATGGTGGTGTTGATGACCCTGTGATCCTTAATGGTGGTGTTGATGATTCTGTGGTCGTTATTGGTGGTGTTGATTCTGTTGTCGTTATTGGTGGTGTTGATGACCTTGTGGTCGTGATTGGTGTTGATGACCTTGTGATCGTTATTGGTGGTGTTGATGACCCTGTGGTCGTTATTGGTGTCGATGACCCTGTGATCGTCAATGGTGGTGTTGACCCTGTGATCGTTATTAGTGGTGTTGATGACCCTGGAGTCAACACTGGCAGTGTTGATGACCCTGGAGTCAACACTGGTAGTGTTGATGACCGTGGAGTCAACACTGGTTAGTGTTGACCGTGGAGTCAACACTGGTAGTGTTGATGACCGTGGAGTCAACACTGGTAGTGTTGATGACCGTGGAGTCAACACTGGTAGTGTTGATGACCGTGGAGTCAACACTGGTAGTGTTGATGACCGTGGAGTCAACACGGTATGTGTTGATGACCGTGGAGTCAACACTGGTAGTGTTGATGACCGTGGAGTCAACACTGGTAGTGTTGATGACCGTGGAGTCAACACTGGTAGTGTGATGACCGTGGAGTCAACACTGGTAGTGTTGATGACCGTGGAGTCAACACTGGTAGTGTTGATGACCGTGGAGTCAACACTGGTAGTGTTGATGACCGTGGAGTCAACACTGGTAGTGTTGATGACCGTGGAGTCAACACTGGTAGTGTTGATGACCGTGGAGTCAACACTGGTAGTGTTTGATGACCGTGGAGTCAACACTGGTAGTGTTGATGACCGTGGAGTCAACACTGGTAGTGTTGATGACCGTGGAGTCAACACTGGTAGTGTTGATGACCGTGGAGTCAACACTGGTAGTGTTGATGACCGTGGAGTCAACACTGGTAGTGTTGATGACCGTGGAGTCAACCTGGTAGTGTTGATGACCGTGGAGGTCAACACTGGTAGTGTTGATGACCGTGGAGTCAACACTGGTAGTGTTGATGACCGTGGAGTCAACACTGGTAGTGTTGATGACCGTGGAGTCAACACTGGTAGTGTTGATGACCGTGGAGTCAACAACTGGTAGTGTTGACGACCGTGGAGTCAACACTGGTAGTGTTGATGACCGTGGAGTCAACACTGGTAGTGTTGATGACCGTGGAGTCAACACTGGTAGTGTTGACCATGGAGTTATCACTGGTGATGTTGATGACCCTGGAGGTAATACTGGTAGTGTTGATGATGCAGATTGTTCCACTCATCAATGACTACTGCACACACATATATATTTATTATTGTGCCCACGAACAAGTGGTATTGATCAATGACAACACTGCGACTAGCCAAGGACTCGAACCCATGCAGCTTTGGTCCAGTGGATTAAGGTGTCATGAGTTATCGCCCACCATGAGGCAGGCCAAAGCAGCATTGGTTTGAGTCCTTGTCTAGCCACAGTGTTGTTACTGATCAAAACACACACACACACACACACACACCACACACACACACACACCACACACACACACACATATATATATATATAATATATATATATATATATTATATATATATATATATATATATATATATATATATATATATATATATACAAACACTGATCTCTGGCTGAAGGAGACTCGAACCTACGAACCTTAGAACAAGGTACGCAGTGCTTTACCAATCTACCCACACTGGATCAACGTGTAGCGCAAGCTACAAGCTAAGGTATTGTCCGGTGTGGGTAGATTGGTAAAGCACTGCGTACCTTGTTCTAAGGTTCGTAGGTTCGAGTCTCCTTCAGCCAGAGATCAGTGTTTGTGAATATTTCGCCTGTTCTCGCAGGCGACATATATATATATGCCCATCTTCCTGACCCATACCTCTCTCGGGAGGGTTTTTCAACCCATGGCAAGTCAGTCGTTAAACTCGGCCAGTGCGTTAACCACTTGGCCAGCTGGCTACAATAATAGTCATACAAGTAGGTATATTGCTATACACCATAGGAAGGTTAACATCGGCCTCCACTGTGACCACAAAGGCAGGTTTTTGCAGATGGATCCCACACCAACCTGGCTGTGAGTTTTAGGACTTAGAGGCCATGGGTTCAGTACCCGTAACCATTGCATGATCTGTAGAAGATTTCTTCAGTCGTCTCAGCCGACGGCTTATGCGTCCTCTCGTCTCACCCCTTGTTTACATAACCTACTGATGTTAATAGTATAGGTACACTGTTGACACCAGGTTACCATCTGGAAAAGATCCGGTCCCAGACCGAACCTGTGATCTTACTAATATACCTGCTGTTGACACTGACTTGACGTGTGTACGGAGGACGTTAGTACACTGAAAAAGGACATATAATAGTCTTAAGTCAATCTTTATATGCCTACTGCTAAGTAGGTATATTTAGGCACAGGTACACGTAAGTACAATCATCATACATAGTGTAATTTACCCAGGGTAACCCCAACAAAAAGTCAGATATCTTCTCTGATAGGCAGTGTCAGGACTGATAAATTAGACGCATGTGCAGCTCTTGGGTATCCTTATTAAGGAAACGTTTCCTCAATAAAGATACCCAAGAGTTGCACATGTGTCTAATTTATCAACGTGTCGGTTCCCTGAACCATTCATCTGCACTCAGTGTGAGGACTGTTGGAGGGCGTGGAGGCTGTATGGGAGACTGGTTTATACACCGAGAAAATTCATGATAGTTCTTAATGTTGGTTTATACACCGAGAAAATTCCCGATAGTTCTTAATGTAGACAGACGTAGTTTGTTCTTCTCAGCAGATAACCTCAGTATGGATTTCCATGTTCTGAGTTGTCTGTCTTTCCCATGTATGGTAAGATTAATGTTTGTTGGGATTTTAAACCCGGAAGGTTAACCACCCAGGATAACCCAGGGTAGGGAGTGTTAGCCACCCAGGATAACCCAGGGTAGGGAGTGTTAGCCACCCAGGATAACCCAGGGTAGGGAGTGTTAGCCACCCAGGATAACCCGGGGTAGGGGGTGTTAGCCACCCAGGATAACCCAGGGTAGGGAGTGTTAGCCACCCAGGATAACCCAGGGTAGGGAGTGTTAACCACCCAGGGTAGGGAGTGTTAGCCACCCAGGATAACCCGGGGTAGGGGGTGTTAGCCACCCAGGATAACCCGGGGTAGGGGGTGTTAACCACCCAGGATAATACACAAATAACCCGCACATAAAAGACAGAAGCTTCTGTCTTTTATGTGCGGGTTATTTGTGTATCGTTCCAGTCACGGTATTGTGCCTTTTTTGTGACACCCAGGATAACCCGGGATAGGGGGTGTTAACCACCTAGTATAACCCAAGAAAGTCTGTGCGTCATCGAGGACTGCCTTATTTCCACTGTGATCCTTCAGTCTTGTCCCCCAGAATGCCACCCCACACCAGTCACCTAACACCCAGGTACCTACTTACTGCTAGGTGAGCTACCATGTACATCAAGCACATCAACATTATACATTTGGTTCAGTGTTTTCAACATTAATTATGGGAAAATTGAAACTCATAAATGGTA